GCTTTCTCACATATCCACATTCGCCGAATCCTAGACTTGAACACATGCAGACAGAGGTGAGATGGCAGTGATCCGTAACAGACAGCGCTTTAGACCACTAGGCCACTCGGGGCCCCCCCTGGTCTATGACTAGTACAGCCAATAAAACCTTTCATGATGGAGACTACAAGTTCGTTTCAACTTTAATCTTAATTTATTTAAAAAGTTACAAAATAAATGTTTTTATTGATGTGCCTTGAGCACCTGACACTACAATACACATCCACCCTGATTCTCCCTTTCTTCTTGCCTTGTCTTCGTTCTCCAAGAAGTATCACACAGTTGTTTCCTTTTTTTAGTTTATAATGTCATTTTAATCTGGCACTAATTTAAAACTTTTAACATGAAACCATTTTGGGCAACTGGTGAGCTATTTCCAAATAAAAGGTACACTGACAGACTGTCCAAAAAATAGAAAAAAGAAAGCAAGCCTGTGGTTTTGAATACAAATACAAACAAGTCATTACCTCAATATTTTTCAAGCACTGTCAGGAAATTCTCTGATAAAGTGTTAGTTAATACTTATTCATATACTGATAATTGTTTGAAGAAATAAACTTTGAGTAAACATTTCGTTATGATGTGTCATTATTATCTGCACCAGCTGTTGATAGACAACACTGATACATGATTTTTGCATCAATGACAATTAATATGAATTAAACTGTAAAACTTGGAATAAATTTATAAATAAATGCCCCACCACAAAGATGAAAAAAAGGTTTTGCTTTCTGGTGACTGAAGTAGTGCATTAAAGCTCCATAAACACATTTCTAGATCATCTCTATTTTAAAGTTCATGCCTATCCTTGGTGTACTGGTGGCATTCAGTTTACCTCATCATCAGAATCATCCGATGGAGATGAAACTTCCTCTTCTTCCTCCTCCTCCTCTTCCTCTTCCTCAGACTCTTGCTCCTTGGCTTTTCCTTTTGAAATCCTGGGTCTTTTTGCTGGAGGTTTTTCCTTAAAACAAAGACAAGTTACCCATTTAAGTGAAAAGGTCACTCTGAAAGTCTGTATCAACAATCTAAACAAGGACAACTTTCCAATGACAAGAAAAACATAAGAAAATCTCTATGTCACAGATTTGGGGAAAAAATTCAGATATGAAACAAATTACACTCGTCACACCATATTAAATTATATGCAAATAAAATTAACTCTAACACATAGCTATAAGAAAATGCTGTAGTATCTAAGGGAGGTAATTAAAAAACTTTACAAGTAATCTGAGTAAATGCTAATTATTTACTGATGTTCAAGTTATCAAAGTGTAATATTCTCAACCTAAAAATGACTCACTTTAATATATGTGCTTATTTATTGATTACAATTTGTATTTACTCACTGATAAGCTTGATTTTCTCTTCCTCTTCCGTGGGGCAGATTTGGTTTTTTGCTGCAATACATGAATAAAACTGAATTATTCTCAGCAAAGCCAAATGCAAGTGGTGATATTTCAATGACTGTATTAATAAATAAATAAAAGTTTTGAGACATATTCACTGAAGCCATATGACAAGGTGAAATTTTGTGGTCACACAAGCACAATCAAAAAAGTTTCATGAAGTGACCAGTCTAAGCCAGAACAGAATAGCATGCATGAAGCAAAATTAGGAAAGTATGTGCATAAAGAAGAATGTTTACAGGGGTCAAGCTAGACTTAAATTGTAGGGAGAAGTGACTTCTCCCTCTGGCCAGAACAGGGAGAAGTGGGAGCTAAACTGAGAAGAGGAAGCTAAGCTGGGAGAAGTGAGACCGAAGCAAGAAATGTGAAATATATATATATTTTGATTATCTTATTTATGCGCTCCATTTCTCAGTATGCTTTTAACAGTTTTAAACAATGCCTCATTTTCAAGTTTAAAAATATGTCATATTTTTTAACAACCCATTTTGTACATGTATACAAATTATTATATTCATACCCATTCTATTCATCATACTTGTAGTATATGTGTTTAGATGGAGATACTGGCAAATTGGAGACATGACTTAAAAAGGCACAGCAGAAGCTATACATTGTAAATATTTTAACTGAAATCAGTAACAAGATTAGAGTCTTCTACTTTCATGTTGGTAAAAATGCTTAATAAACTACCATTTAATTTTTTTATTTTGTACAAGTTTTGTATAAAATTGCAATCAAAAAGGATTTGTAGCATTCTTTGAAACAACCCCTAATTCATGTACATAGTAATAAATGCACAAGTGACTTCAAAATATACTCTTCGTCCTGATTTCCTTGTTCCCAATAAAACATTACTGTAACTATTCATAGACAACACAAAGAAGCATTAAAGTAAATAGATAGCTAAACTGGGCCCCTTTTACCCCAAAACCGAAACATTCAAGAACACGTATTGCACCAAGCGAGTACATTTATTTTTAGAAAGAGGGTATTTCTAAATATAAAAATTTGCTTTCTTGCTTTGCTACAATAAATTCATTAATAGGACTGCATATTTAGGGTTGAATTATTTGTCCACCTACTGGTATTAACGATATAAATCGGATAAATAGTATTTACTTCACTACTATATATATCTCTTCTGTAATTTCGAGAAAATTAATTATGGTAGGTCAGGAAACAACCATGACATTGCAGCATTGTTTTGAATTCCACAAGAGATTGTCACATGTTTTTGACTTACATTATTAAATATTGAGGATAAATCTACTATGACAATATTTTAACTTTGTTTTCATTATATTATATATTTTCCTGAATCTATTTGCCCCATTATTTACGAATACAGTTTAATGATGTGGCATGTCGTATGCATAGCAATGTTCACCATTACAAGTTCTTTTACAGTTTCAAATAGATTTTATCAAGAAAATACGCAAATACGGCTGTTAAAATCAAAATTTATAAAAACAGTACATTAAAAAAAATCTTCACCAACACATTTTTTAAAAGCAAATTACTGTTTATAGATGCATTTCACCAAGGGGGCATCTCAAAAGTCCTAATCTACAACCATTTTACGTCCGAAAAGTTTAGGGTGAAGTCATATTCGCTTTCATAACAAAAGAAGACAAAGTTAACTGTTCTCAGGCGACTTTTTCACCCACTTCGCCTGGTAGTATGACCCCTAGTTTAAAATAATAATTTTAAATGTCTATTGTTTCTTCACATTTGCATCTGAAACAGTTATGATACCAATCAAATACTTCTGCTTCACCACAACTCTGAAAACAGGTTATGGTTGAAAAACGGCAAAGTAGTGGAGTCCTCTTCACAAGCTTATATGATGAAATACTAAATACAATTCATTTTCTTCACAATGGATCTTGCCATGTACATGGAGTTTCAATTTGCTTCTGATCAGATCATCTACTAGAATCGACAACACTAACTTACTGTGTAATATCCACATGCAATTATTAGACAAGAATATGGGTTATTGCTTTATGATTTGGATGGGAGAGGTTGCCAGTTAGGATTCTTACTTAATGACTGGGAGAGGATAAAAGTCCAATATGTGGTTTTATATTATGACTGTAGATTAAATGTCATGAGTGTGGGGTTTTCCATCATGATTCTGATATGAAACACTGACCTGCTGCAAATTGAGTATTGAGAGCCATTTTCTTTAAGGACATACAATTGCAACTGTTTTGCATTAATTCCCTTAGAAATCACCACAATATATGTTTAGTGCACTGTTGTTTTGTATTCCATTGTTCACATATACCAATAAATCAGACCCCCAAATTTTTATCTCACCTAATTGCAAAACCATGCAAAAAATGCAGACAGATCGGTCTGCGCATATGCACTGTGCATATATTAATCATTTTTAGACACCATATAATATTTCATGCAGCATGTTGAAGAGGTCTTTAATCTACACATACAGCATATTTCTGAATAAAATCCAATACCCAACAATGCATAAACCCATGCTGAATAGCACAATCATACCCCATCACAATTTCAAAATACCAGGCAACATTGGCAAATAATGCATTGCTTCATCAATATTGAGGAACCAATTAGAAGTGACTTACTTCACTTAGTCAAAATGATCATGTGACTCGAGTGTCTGTGGATTTATCATTTGCCTTGTGATGAATATATCATGCTACTATTATTGTAGTTCAAGCAAATGACAATTTACAAAATTGGTAGATCAAGTGACTATTCTGTGTACAACATAACGCTAATCCACCCATTTGGGAAACTATGTGTTGCTAAACAGTGGCAACTTGCACAACAAGATCTTGTTAACAAGAGTAATACAAAGACACTTTAATCACTAGGCCCAAAACTGTAAAGTTTATTATCCAAAGGATAACCACTGTAGTAGGACACAAAAATCCAAAATACCCCCAATTACTGCTATGCAAAATTTTTCAGGAGAGCTGCATATGTCTGCCCATTTTAGCCATAAAAAGTTCTATTCTTGCAAATATACTGTATATAATCACATGTTAAGTTTGGTCAAACTAAAATCAACATAAACCCCAACTTGCCATCGCAGGTAGATCAGGGTCCGATTTGTTATACTGTTTACTTCTAATAAATTACACAGACCCAGTCTACAGATACCTTACACAATGACAAATTTAGATCTGAACAGTGACGAGTTTTACTTATAAGCATGTATACATGTTATCCTCAAATCCTAGTTCTCTTTCAAAAGGATGGTTCACAATTCTAACACCAATGTGTATATTTAAAGACACTTAACACTATGTATATTTAAAGACAGCACCCACTATGCATTAAATAACATCACCCACTATGTGATGTGATTATGATTTTTAATGTAGCTTTAACAATTTTTCAGTCATATCCCTACGATATCTGCAGTGTGGCAGTTTATAGTGATGTCTACCACATGTAGAATGATGTCCCACCCAGTCACATTATCCCGACACCAGGCCAACCAGTCCTAACACTAACCTATTAATGCTGAGCGTCAAGTGAGGCAGCTGTTAGTCTTTGGTATGACTCGACTGGGGATTGAACATATGAACTCTCGCATCCGAGGCAGACGCTCTAACCACTAAGCCACCTGAGTGGTGCTCACCCACTGTGCATTTAAAGACATCACCCACTATCTGGGATCTCGCTACCTGGCAAAGTGGTAGACAAAGTTGCTTAAAAAGTGTAAACTTCACACGTTTCTGTTATAAAGTGAAAACGATGCACTGTGATTTTTTTTGAAGAACATTGAATAACCGTCTTTTTTTTTAATTGCTCCCTCACCATGGCCAGGTTAGTTCCATTGTTATGTTATACATAGATCAAGGCGAAACATGAGCTTCAAGCCATTAAAGAACTGGTGTTGATATCAATTACGCCAACAAACTTGCACATTCAGAGGTATGTTTTGATAGCTTATTGACCATTAACCCTTTCCTGAGTAAGTTAGTAACTATTACTTCACAATTTCCTCAAGTTATCCTCTAATAATAAAAACATACAAACTTGTGTTTCTAAACTTAAATTTATTTAAATATCAATCTGAGTTTTAAGAGTATAATCATTAACATGAATATTTTAATTGCCTCATTTACATTATTTTCTTGATAAATTTCTGTTTTGAACTCTAATGGCAGGCATCACTGTTCTGGCAAGTACTGTTTTATTAGATTGTCTCTTTGTAAACCATTGGGCAACTATATTCAGGAAAAACTACAATTTGCAAGAAAGCAGAGACTAAATATTACATTTTAGCTTTAAAATGAAATTATGTACGTCATAAATATATCTGACAATGCAATGTTGTAGAATTCTACAAGACATTGTAAGGTCAAGGTTGTATTCTGAGTTTATTAATTTCTGTGAAATTACGCAGAAAAAAAAATGCAAAAGAAATACTATTTAAACAATGCCTTACACAAAGTATGTAAACAAGTAATAAAATCTTATCTTTACAATCCAATCAATGGACTGTGGTAATGAAGTTATGAAGTGAGTGATTACATTAAGAAAATTTCCCTTTCTAAAAATAGGCACTTGCATGTTGGCTGTGTTGATTCGGTTTTAAAAAAAGGGCTTTCATCCATATGCTTCTTTCATTCTTCAGTGTGTTGTCTATGAACAGTTATGGTAAAGTTTTATCGGGAACAAAGAAATCAAAACAGTATGATCCGAAAGACGTGCATTTTCTCATGTATACGGTGCAAGGGTTGTTTCAACCAAGTTTAGAAATCTTTTCTATTGCCATTTTATAATGAACTTTCAGAAACCAAAAATAAAAAAATTCTTGATTAAAGCATTTGTACTTACCTACAATTGCAATACTTTAATCTAGTTACTAAGTTAAAATTCATTAGAATGTATAGATTCTGTTGTTCTCTTTGTAAGTCATATTGCCAAAACATACTGAATATTTTAAAGTTGCACCAAATGTTTATATAATATAAATAAAACCTTCAAAATTTTCTACTTGAAAATCGAGTATTGCTTAAAACCAATGTTAAACGCCAATATGCAGACTGGGAAATTGGTGGCATAAAATAGGAGAATGAAACACACACACACTCACACCATGTCTTGCTTTGCATCCACTTTCCCTGTTCAGTCCAAAATGAGAAGTCACTTTTCCCTAAAATTCAAGACTAACTTGACCCCTGACTGTGTATTTCAAAATATTACCCACTTTGTGTATTTAAAAACACCACCCACAATGTGTATTAAAAGACATCACCTACTATGCATATTTAATGACGCCACCCTCAATGTATATTAAAAGACATCACCCCCCACTATGTATATTCAATGACATCACCCACTGTGAATTTAAAGACACAATCCACTGTGTATTTAATGACATTACACCCTCTAAGTGTATTTTAACGACAATATCAAATTGTATATAATTCATAACATTTCCCCTGTGCATATTTAAAAATACAAAATAACATAAGCAGAGACATTGCCACATGAACAATGTCTTTATATAAAAGTTAGTAATACTATGGCCGCACTCTACAATTTCCTATTTTGCATAGAGTTAGAATTTTAAAGAAAAGGAATTGCCCCAGGTTTCCTCACTAGTTATCGTGGCTATCTGAAAAGGCCTTGTATATCTTAGGTACTATTTTAAACTTTAACTTCCTTTATTTTGGAACATGACTAATGGATGTAATATGGATTATAGAGTATACAGCTTGGCCTAACTCCAGATGTGCACCTTTCAAAAAAGTGCTAGCTACACATTGCAATTTGTCCACATAGCAACCATTGTTATTCTGAAAGACAGGAACATGAAACTATCTATAATCATTCCTGAGATGTCAACAATAAATTTTAGTTTGAAAAGGGATGGAATAGGTGAGGTTCATAAAGGTCAAAATATTAAATAATTGTTTAATATGGAAGAATGCAAATTTGGTTTATCATTTTTTTTAACTTCTTTGCAAATAAATGACAAGAAAAATTTCCACCATATATTTTTGTTTCTTAATGCAACAATTTTAAATTTAAGTTGACTTTATTCCTATATTTTAAGATTTCTAAATTCCCCATAATTAAGATCACCACTCACACAAATATGCCTCATGGCAAATAATGTAAGCAAGTGCAAAATAAGCATACTTAGCTTTTTTTCATGCATAAAATCAATGCTAAGGTACCATTTTATTCAAACATCATACACAATAACATGAAAATAAGAAAAATACTTACATTTTACATTTGTTCTAAGGTGGCGCTATACAGTTTTGTATTTTGCACAGAATTAGAATTTTAATGAAAAAGAATTTCCCCGAGTTTCCAAACTAGTTATACTAGCCATTTAAAAAAGACCTTGTATATTTTAGGTATTGTTTAAAGAACCGTTATTTCCCTTTATTTTGGTGTTATGATTGATAGGTGTAATATCGGTTAGAGAGTATACAGCTTGGCCTTAGTTCAGATATGCACCTTTCTAAAAAGTGCTAGCTACACTTGGTCATTTTCACATCCTGAACTTCAGAGGTAAATTGTAAAAAAAACCCACCCAACCAATAACTTTTGTTTTTACATTTTGTATATTTGGTAATTCATTCATTGCACTTTCAGAAGCTATTATTGTCTAGTATGGCAAAATTCATTTTCCCTATAGCTACTAAAGATGGTGTACTTTAGACAAGTTCAGGCTGATTTTTGGAGCACAAGAGAGCAGTCATTTTAATTAACAGTGTGCTAAGATCATTTACAATTTCCAAAAGTAAAATATCCTATTTAATGTCAGCCACATTACATCAAAGTAGGATAGAGGTATGTCAACATTCTCTCTAGTGTGCATGTTTAAAATGCAAAGAGCTTCACCTTACATACATCTCTCAAAAGTACATAATAACTGGTGAGCTCCCGCTATACCTGTTTCTTTTTGCCCTTTTCTTTCACTACCTCCCCATCTTCCTCCTCTGATGCTTCCTCTTCCTCCCCATCCTCCTCTTCATCTTCTTTATCCACTTCCTGAAATGTACAGGTATTTGAAATATATCCCAAACTGAAGACAGTGAATGGTCTAAGGGGCTCTAATCACAGCTTAAACATAGCTACAATGTCGTAGTCTCAACTGGTTTTGTTGTGATTGAGGCCACAAACTGATCCCATATGTAATGGAGCAAACAAAATCCTCACTAAAGTCAGAAACAAAAATAGTTTAGAAATCTACTAAATAAGTATAATCATTTTGTCAAAGAAGTTTGGCTTATTAGAAATTTATTATGCCCTTACACGGTAAAATAAATTGGCATAGTTACGCTAACCTCAGTGTCCACCATGACAGACAACGCGAGACTCTTACCGTGGCCCCTTTTCTACATAAGGCTTGCCAGACTATACATGAATATTCTACGCTATGGTATTAGTTGTTGAATGACATAACATGAGAAGATGGAGAATGGATACTTGCATAAACTGCATACTACAGTTTTTGTTGAGAAAATAATTGCTTCTTGGTGGAATTTCAAAGTCACAGGTAAACCGTATTTACTTTTAATGCACAGAATTTCTGACTCAAACACCGACATATTTTTTTTACTATGATCTGTTTACGTTTCCAAATACGGCCTTAACGTCTTTATATGGCACACAAACAAGATTGAGAAGTAGGAATTATTCTATTTAATATGGCGTACGATCAAAAAGAAAATATCAGATAAGAAAGGTAAACAAGATTTTTCCACTATTTTCTCAATAATTTGCGATAATTCCAGTATTAAATAAGAGGACTACTCAATTTATTTCATTATATATCAAAGAACATGTTCAATTTTTTTATATTAGGCTAAAAAAGAGCCGGGTGTGAATCACACCTGGCTGCTCTAGTGACACACACAGACTCATGTTAGTACCCAGTCCACAAGGTAGAACTAAGGGTACTTCAGAGGAAGAGGATGCAGTTCCAACCAAGACCTGATTCATACTTTAAGTGTAGCAACTGCAGCAAGGATTGCCACTGCCGTGTAGGACTTTATATTCACAGAAGACACTGCACAGCTAGAAACTAGGACACCTTTCATGGGTGCATTTCCATCGTCTCTCGAGACTAACGGAAACCAACCAACCAACCAATACTAGTACTAAGCTTAAACACTGACCAATAATAACGATTCAGCTCAAGACCATGAACTATTATTTTTTTTAAATGTTCCTGATGAAAAGAAGCACCTAGGTGGTACAATTGTTGAGATTTGGGTGATACAGGACAAAATAGTGTGTGTGTGGGGAGAAGGGATGAGATCCTGCATTCAATGTGCAGTAGTGATAGCTTTACATTCCAAGTTTTCAGAATGTATTTATTTCTACGACTATCTATACAGTAGTCCCCCTCTTGAACGGCCCCCCTCAACAGCGGCCACCTGCTCCTTACGGCCAGAATCTGATAGCACCGACAAATTTGTGTTCAAAATTACGCCTCACGAAAGGCCACCCGGCTAACACGACCAGCGTATTTTTGCAAAAACATAAAATTTACCCTCACAAGAGGCCGCATTTTATTTTATAATATGTATCTAGAATAATTTTTTTTCTAATTGTGTTAAGTAATCCGATTTGTTTCCCGAGGTCAGGTTTTCGTTTT